CTGCTGGTAAGTCTGAAGCCCAGCAGGGGACAGGGCTTTGTCGTCAGGCTTGTGGTTGGGTCCTGGAGTGCGGTAAGGGGTTGAGAGTGGTGCAGGCGCAATGTTGAAACGCTTGCTAAGCTCCTCCGCATACTTCGCTGCTGAGAGATGAATGGCTTCTGGCGCGTAAGTTATGTTGAGTCCGAGGAACTGCTTCACGTCGTGGTTGCAGGGGATATCAACGCGCCCTGCGAGACTCTTCTCGAATTGCTCCAGCAGTTCGTTGCTTGAGCCTGTGTAAAGGAGGTCGTCGACGTAGACCGTGAGTAGGATGTATTCGCCGCGGAAATCGCGGCGATACATCCCAGGATCGTGAGGCAGCTACTTGAATCCGATTTCAAGCAGTATGTTGTGCAGGTACTGCTGCCAGAGCCTTGGTGTCTGTTTGATCCCGTAGAGGGACTTGCGCAGCTGACAAACGCGTGGATCCCCGTCGCCGTATGTGTGTGGCTGCTCCACGTAGATCACGGCGTCCACTAACGCATACAAGAAGGCATTCTTCACATCGATCTGCCGAAGTGGTAGGTGGCGTGCGGCTGCGATGGCGAGCAGAATTCGGACGGAAGTGTGACGACTAACCGGCGCAAATGTCTGGTCGAAATCAATCCCGTGCCTCTGATCGTAGCCGCGCACCACCCAGCGCGCCTTGAATCGCTCAATCGTTCCGTCAGCTCCTGTCTTCACGCGGAAGACCCATTTGCCGGAGAGGATCCTTCTGCCCTTCACTGCTGCACGGTCGACGAGCACCCAAGTGTCGCGCGACTCAAGCGCCCGAATCTCCGCATCCATTGCTTCGCGCCACTCCTTGCTGTGTGGGTCTGTGAGAGCTTGTCGTGGGTTCTTAGGCTCGATGATGCGCGGAGCAGTGGAGACGGCAGCGTGCAGTCCCAGGAGTTGAAGGCCAGTGATGGTGCTGTCATGGCGATGTTGGGTGACGACTTCCTGCACGTCGTCATCGTCGCTTTCTGCTTCAGGCGGTGCTGGTGGTGCTGTGTCTCCGCCGCTTCCGCTTCCTCCTGTTGCGCCTCCTCCCGCTGTGCCTCCTGTTGCGCCTGCTCCTCCTTCTCCTGAATCATCGTCGTCGTCGTCGTCGTGGCGGCGATCGCCTCTTGTGAACTCCCCTCTGGGATCCTGTTCCAGAATTGCCGCTGCAGCTTCGTCCTCAGGTGAAGCGTAGCTGTGGCCCTCGTTGGCGTAGACGCGGTTTGCGTTCGTCTGCTCGTCCTCACGAAATTGCTGCAGAAACAGCCGCTCGTAGAAGATAACGTCGCGCGCATTTTTTATTTTCTGGCTTAGGAGATCCAGGATGATCCATGCCTTGTGTTCGTGACTGATGCCGAGGTGGATTCCCCAGCGCGCGCGGCTCTTGAACTTCCCGATGGTTGACGTTGGCGGTCGGTATTGAACCATGCACCCCCAGACACGGAGCATGGAGGTGTCCCCCTTTCTTCCCGTCCATTTCACATGCGGCGAGGAGTTGCCGGTGATTGCGGTGGTTGACAGCAGGTTGTGCACCCGCACAGCGTGGTGCATCGCGTAGGTCCAGTAGATCGGCGGGAGCTTCGCCTGCCGCATTAGCGCCCGCACCTTCGTCATGAGGGTGCGATTCGTGCGTTCTGCTACGCCCTGCTGCTGATGCGCGTAGGGGAGAGAGATGTGATGCTCGATCCCCTTTTGCGCGAGGAAATCCTGCAGCTCCTTGCTCCTGAACTCCGCTGCGCCATCGGACTGCCATATCTTCAATTTCCCCCCAGATTGCCGCTGCGCGTGCGCCAGCCACAGGCGGAATGCTTCGTAGGCTCTGCTGCGCGCTTCCACGTTTACGACCCATACGTGGCGTGTTCCGGCGTCGACGAAGGTGAGTGTGTAGAGCTCGTCGTTGATGCCGCAGTGACCTACGTTGAGGAAATCACTGTAAACCTTCTCCAGCTTGGCGTAGCGATTGGTTCCTGGGTCGAGTAGGGGGAATGGCTGGTGACTCAGCGCGGCTTCGGGGCAGACGGTGCAGCTGCGCGGGTGAGTTCATCCTCTCACTTTGGAGCCATCAGGGCGCAGCAGCGCGCCAGGTGCGAAGACGCCGGCTTCGATGCAGTTCTTCAGGGTCGTGCGCGAAGGGTGACCTAAGCGCTGATGCCAGATGGCGTCGTCGGCGCGGAATCCGGAAGTGCGCATGTAGCGCGCAAGTGCAGCTGCGGGGTCTTCGCCAGGTGCCGGTGCAGGTGTGGGAGTTGCTTCCTCATTCTCTTCTTCTTCCTCGTTCGCCGTCGTTAGCATGAGGGCGAGAAACTCTCTGTCGCAGATGATGGAGTAGGGGATGTTGGTTCCGGGGATCGTGCCGAGTACAAATGTCGGTTCGCGCGGTTCAAGGACAGGTCCGTAGACGGTGCGTCGCGGGGTGAGTGGTTCACTCCCCCAGTCGATGGTGTCCCAGGGGTCACTTCCTGAAGGGATGTCAGGGGGCGGAGGTCCTAATGCAGGGCGGCGCGGAGGGCGTCCGAGAGGGACAATAGGAGGTTCATCCTCAACTTGCGCAGGTTCTGCTTCCGCTTCCCCCCTTTGTTCCTTGCGGAAGGCTCCCCAGCCGCTCGTCTCTCCGCCTTGTGCGGCGCCCCATCCGCCGATGTTTTCGCCTATTGCTGCGCCCCATCCGCCGGTTGCGTCGCCCCACCCGCTTGTTGCGGCACCCCAACCGCTTGTGTTGCTCGTTCCCCATCCGCTGGCGCCCCCCCACCCCCCTTCATTGGAGGTGCTTTCCTCGTCTTGTTCCCAGGCGAGCGTTCCGCGTGCCTCGGCGAGGCTCTTCTGCCGAAGCTCTTCGGCTTCGCGTTGCGCCAATGCCTCCTCTTCCGTAGGTGAGAGTCGTTTCTTCGAATCGCGCCGGTGAGCGTATATCTCTGCCGCCTTCTCCTCGGTGTAGGGCCGAGGGTTCCCATGGGCGTCGAAGGTACCTACGCCGACGCCGCGGAGCATGCCTTGGAGATGCTGAGACGCGGTTCCGGGGAGAGGGTGTTCCGGTGTGCCGAAGACGACCCGCGTGGCTGGAGAGGTTCTCTCCTGGTGCCATCTTGGTCTCCAGTAGCTGCTGGAGCAGGCGGCTCGACGACACTGAGTCCTTGGGTTGGTACACACCGTTTAGGTGGCGCCAGACGTTGAGGGCGGGAGCTGGAGAAGTCTTGTATGAGCGAATGCTCAATTGCTCCGTCGGCGACATATTTCGCAGAAGAACCCCGTACGCCATCAGGGACTCGTTGTAGTACTTGGTTTTTGCGTCGTCAGTGTCCTCCGTGGGTCCCGAGTAGCTCCCGTCGAAGAAATGATAAATCTGCGCGTTTTGCAGCAGCAGCTCCAGCTCGAAGCTCCAAGTATAGAAGTCTCTGCCGTCAAAGCACACACTTGTCTTTATTTTTGATATGCTCAAAAACCTTGATTGCGCAGAGAGAATTGCTTCATCGCTGGGACAGGGAGTCTTGGGTGTTGAGCCATTTGTGTCAAGAGAGAAGCCTTGCGGGGCGGAGTTCTGGCCGTTTGACGCCGGTTGAGTGGGTTGGGAGGAAGTTCCCGCGTCGCCATTCCGCAATGTCTGGAGCCCTTGCTCCAGGCTTGTGAGTCGCTGAAGCAGTTGTGCGAGGACGGCGGAAGAAATCGTCGTCGTTTCCTCGTTTGTCGCAGTCGGGTTGGGCTGCGCTTCAGCCGTCAGATTTGTCTGACCTCCAGATCCTCCGGCCATTCTTACACGTGATCGTGTGCCGGACGCCACTTTCCGAATGTCGCAGATTTCGGAGATGGCGGTGCGAAGGATTCCTGAGTCGCTCTCATACCATGCTGCGATCAAAAATTGATCGTATCCAGGATCACCTCAGGAAGGTTCGCACACTTCTAATCTAGTGGTGGTGGGCCCTTGACCTCAATAGCAGAGTGAATGTAAATGCTTGAGATGATAAAAACATGCAGTACAAGGAATATAAATAAGAGTACAGGGGAAAACGACCTAGCTAGCCATGTACTCTAAGGGGTACATTCCCTTATTACAGCGAAATCCAACCGTGCGACTCCGGGTGGTTACGGAACTGTTCGGGCAGAATCCTCGCCACTGCTGCTGCCTGATGTCGTCTGCCCGACGGTCCAGATGCTCTTCGTAACCGTCTGTCACTTCGCATTACTTCTTCCTTTTCGTATTCACTCTCGATACTGCGTGCTTCGGCTTTGCTACGGTGATGAGTGACCAATAGTATTTTCACTAACCACTATTCGTAACAAGACTTACCAATCTTGTCCTATCCACTTGATCCTTTGGCTATATCAGCATGATCCACCCTGAGTTGTTGCTTTTCTTGCTTGCGTAATGCCCGTCACCAAGCCTATGGGGCTGTGCAAAAATTATATATATGGTAGTTCTAGCCTAATCTGACTTGCTCCTTAGCGAGTGTAACACTCGTTTGCATGATTAGGGTTTCCTATTTGTATCACCCTCCAATTAGTTCATGATCGTTTCGATGTTCTACTTTGAAAGTGTAAAACAACAGTGTTAAGACCCTTGATTAAAGCACAGAGGAGTTTCACGAAGTAGTCTTCAGAAATATATGCAGGCACCATTGAGCACAGTAAAAGAGTAGAGAGATACACATCTCAAATGTGAAGCATTTTGTTGGCCTTGGAAGAAAAAAGGGAGGAAACTTGGAAGTGTTGACACTATAGACGGAGTGAGTTCTACTCATTTCAAGTGGTAACGAGGATGCGTTGTCACAAGTCGAGGAGAACGAAACTCGCCAAGCCAAAGCAAGCCACTCAACTGCTTCTAGCAGAAACTCGAAACCTTTATCCTACCCTAGTATCCTCACGCCACACCTCTCCGTGTATTCCTAGTCTCCCAGGCAATCGCTCCCCGCATCCTTGCACACTCACCCCCTGCTGCGGGAACACCTCCCGCCATGTTTCTCCGCCTCTCCCCGGCCACACCGCGAATGCCCCTCTGCATTCCCCAACCCGCTGCACTGCCCCTGTCCTGGCGCGCGCCTCTCGCGTATGGGCCGCGCGCCGCCGCGGAGGAGAGGGCAGGCGGGGAAACCGCGAAAGGGGAGGCGGGCGCGGAGAATGCGAGCGCTGGCGGCGGCGGCGGCGGCGGCGTCATCGACCTGAAGCGGTGGATGGAGCAGCGCGTGCGCGCCACGGGCATCGAGCCCTTTCCATCACTGCACGGCGCGTTCCCCCCGTCCTCGCGCGTGCACTCCCCCGAATCTCCCCCTGAATACCTCGACTCGGGGTGGATAAGAGAACCGCCCCGCGGCAGAGAGGGCAGGGAGGGGAAGGAGGGGAAAGAGGTCAGGCAGGGGAGGGAGGGCAGAGAGGGTAAGGAGGGCAGGGAGGGGAGGCAGGCGAAGGGGGTGAAGGAGGCGAGGGAGCTTTCTGCGAGGCCGCCGGTGGCGAAGAGGGCGGGGCGCGGGGCGAGCAGCAAGTTCGCGCGGCTGTCGCACGCGGAGTGGGAGGCGCAGGCCATGGCCATGGTGGCGCAGAAGAAGCGCCTCCTGCTCGCCGCGCGCTCCCGGGACGAGCGGGGGGGCGCGGGGAAGGAGCGGGAGAAGAAGGACAGGCGCGCTGCAGGCGGCGGGAAGGAGGCGGGCAGTGGGGTGGCGGGGAAGGCAAGTGGCGCGGGCGGAGCGCGCGAAAGGGAGGGCGGTGCGCGGCACGTGCAGCTGCTGCCGCCGCCGCGGCTGTCAGCGCGGCCTGCGGGGGAAGATGGGGGGGAGAGTGAGGTGGAGGGTGGGCGGGGCGAGAGCAGCGCAGCCGCCACTCCCCGCCCATCCGCACTCCCCCTCCCCCAGCACCTCGTTTCAAGCGCCGCTGCCCCCCCGCTGTCCCCCGCAGGCAGCAGGGAAGCGGTAGAGGAGGGGAGGCTGTTAGGGGGAGGCGCAGGAGGGGCGAGAGGGGACGGGACGGGGGAAGCGATGGTGGGCGAGGCGGGGGAGAGGGATGAGGAGGAAGGCGAGAGCAGCAGCATGGTCCATGTGTGGGCAGGCGGGCATCGGCTGCGGGAGTGGCAGGGACGCAGCGGTGCGAGGGGCGACGAGGAGGGCCGTGCACGCAGGAGTGAGGGGATGAGTGACGGCGGTAGTGAGTCGAGTGGCGGCATGACAAGCAGCGGCGAGGGCGAGGGCGAGGGGTGGCATGCGTCCGCCTTGATGCAGCTGGGTGGGCTGGCGGGTGGGGTGAGTGTGGCGGGTGGGGTGAGTGTGGCGGGTGGGGTGAGCGTGGCGGGTGGGGTGAGTGTGGCGGGTGGGGTGAGTGTGGCGGGTGGGGTGAGCGTGGGAGGGGGGCGCATGGTTGCATGCCAGGGTTTGACGCTAGAGAGGGTGCCGAGTGTGTGTGTGCGTAGGGGTGTGTGCACGTGTGTGTGAGGGGGTGACGGGTCTATGTGTGTGTGTGTGTGTGTGTGTGTGTGTTTGTGTGCGTGTGTATGTGTGTGTGTTTGTGTGTGTGTGTGTGTGTGTGTTTGTGTGTGTATGTGTGGAGGTGCGTGAGTGGGTGTGTGTCTGTGTTGGGGCGTCTGTGCCTGTGTGTGTGGGTGTGTGTGTGCATCACCCCTCAACCATCCACATGTGCATCCAATCTCTCAACCATCCACATGTGCATCCAATCTCTCAACCATCCGCATGTGCTCTCAACCATCGCCCTTGCACTGCATACTCTTCCGCCCACGCCTCTCTCCCCTCTCTCATCCTCCTTTCACTCCCAAATGCACGCCCGCTGTCTCCTTCCCTTCCCTCCCCTTCGCCACCCCCCACCCCCACAGCCTGTGCGGGTGACGGAGCCGGCGTCGAGGAGGGAGGCGGTGAGGAGGGCGAGGCAGGCGGCGCTGGTGGCGTGTCTGCTGGAGGAGGGCTTCCGCCCGCCCGACCTGCTGCGCTTCGCCTCCACCCGCCGCGCCTTGCTCACCGTCAGTCCACCCGCATTACTGGGAGCTGGAGGAGCTTAGCTGAAGGGCTTTGGCTGGGCTGGGAAGGGGCTTTGGTCATGCGACGGCGAGAATGGCAGAATGTCCTGCATTGCCATGCCATGCACCTGTTCCCCTCATCCTCTCGTCACATGCCCGTCACACCACCCGCCCCTCGTACCCACAACCCCCTCCCGCCTTCCCCTCCCAATCTCCCCCCAGACGTCCCCCACTCTGGCACAGGAGCGCATGGCCTATCTGCGGGCCATCGGGCTGCCAGACGCTGATGTGCCGCGCCTCGTAGCGCGCTGGCCCAAGCTGCTCACCTACCGCGTCGACACGCGCATGGCGCCACGTGTCGACTTCCTATTGGCCCTTGGCGTGCCACAAGACCGCGTGGCACGTGTGATCCAGCTGGCACCCGGCATCTTCGAGTGCAGTGTGGACCGCGCCATCCGCCCGCGCATCCGCTTCCTACAGGTGCCCCTCCTCGCTTCCTGCAGGTGCCCCTCCTCGCTTCCTGCAGGTGCCCCTCCTCGCTTCCTGCAGGTGCCCCTCCTTGTTAGTGTCAACCTTCTGACTCACCTTTTGTACTTTACTTTCTATATCCTAGTTTAGTGTAGTTTGCACTTTGTGTTTGATTGGGTGTACTCTCACATCCCAACCAAAACCAAATGTGATCTCCAAGCAATTTCCAATCCACCAATTGGAGATTGCCTTGGGATTACCTTCAATCCCTAGGGATTGCGCCCGATTCCCTCACATGGTATCAGAGCAATTTTACCGCACACGCGGATTCCATTATTTTTTTGCGGATTCTCTTGCCGCACTCTTCGGCGAAACCGCTTTCAATTTCGTCGCCGTTAATTCGCGACATCTCTGGCCGGAATTTCTCCCGCACCACTCACCTTGCCGTCGCGACGACTTCCGCATTTTTTTATAAAGCGAATTGTCGGCATAGTGCTTATCCCTAGTTCTTCCCGAGTACGCGGCTCTTCTCCTCCTCGTCGGGCTACCGCCCGTCGCCCGGCACGGTCGCCTCTCTTCGGGCTGCCGTCCGTCGCCCTGCAGCGACAAGATCTAAATCCTACTTTAGAATTCTCATTCGTAAACCCTACCTCATAATTCCGCCTACGACGACTTAAGAGCTGCGCTTCGCGCAGAAAGGAAGAAACATAGTTATCATGGCGTTCGCTTCCTCCGCTATCGCCAATCCCTTCACCCCTCTTCGCCTCGAAACCGACGGCTCAAGCTCCAATTACAAGGTATGGAGCTACGGGGTGGACAAGCACCTCTTGAGCTGTGAGGTGCAAAGGTTGGATCTCAACTAAGGGAAAGGAAAACAGCCCCATGTCCCCACGGCGCCGTCCGATCACTAATGCGACGGCAACAAGGGAGTACGAGGAAGCTGTTGACAACTACCGCCGTTGGGAGAAGGTCGATGCGGCTATCATTAGCGTCTTCATCCGCACTACCCCTCCCGACCTCGTCAACACCTTCCACAACTACCGTACCTCCAGCGCCATATGGAAGCATGTTCATTATCGTTTTATGAACGAGACGGCGGGTGGTCATTCTCATCCCGAGCATGTTCCAGGTCCGCCTTGAGGACTCTCCAGGTATGGCCGACTACATCGCCAAAGTTCAAGGAACTCAGCATAATCTTCCCCGAGCAAGCTCCCGCAACCGCTCTTCGTGTCGGCCTCACCTCAGCATACGAAGTTACGAGGAAAATGCTCCTCGCACTCTCGACGGAACACCTTACATTTGCTAAGGTCTCTTCCGCACTCCTCTCCGTGGAGAAAGACACCACGGCTGAAGCCAAGGCCTACGCCTTCCGTGCTCCCGAGCCTCAAGCGAGTGTTACCTCGGCACCTTTTCAGCGCAACCGCTTCCCTCCATATACCTACGTCGTCAAGTATGGCAACCACAAGGGACAAGTGTGTTGTGGCACTAACCACCCCCTTGTTACTTGCTTTAAGAAAAATGACGACAAATGGTATGCCGTCCATGGAATCGACAAGAAGCCACCGGACTAGATGCGCTTTCGTAAGGTCAATCATGTCGAGGCACAAGAACATGTTAAGGCTAGTGCTAATGATAGTGCTCCTCCTGGTGTGCGCATCAACATGTTGTTCCTTGGCACTTCCATGATTAATGAAGCGACTTCGTGGTACATTGGCTCACCACAGGCATCACACTCCAGACTCGACAGTGGGGCTCTCATATAGTGCTCAAGGAGAAACATTCATTCCAACCATACTCAGCACCCTTTCCTCTCTTGGGATCTGATTCAAGCTTCACCACTCACGTTAAAGGGTTGTCCACAGTAATGTGGCCCGTTTTCCCATCCTGCATAGTCACTGGCTTGTGCGTGCCTTCACTACGCCACAATCTAGGGGCCCAAAAATAGCTTCAGGATGTGGGGGTCTTCACCATCTTTCCTCCACACGCTGACTACTGTGACATCATCGACCCACTTACCAACAAGCTCTTAGCCCGTTTCACATGTATGGATCGCTGCATGCAGGCTAGTACGTTTAGAAAGGACTCAGACATGTGGTCTCAATTCTCTCTCTTTCTTTCTCCGCCCACTGCTCTCACCCCCCCCCCCCCCCCCCCCCCCCCTTTTCGGCGCTCCACAGAATGCGCTGCAGCTGAGCGACGAGGACGTGGTGAAGGTGGTGCTGCGCAGCCCGCAGGTGCTGACGCAGAGCGTGCAGAGCGGCCTCGTGCCGCGCCTGCACTACTTCCTGCACGACCTCGCGCTGCCCCTTCCCTCCCTCGCCTCCATGGTCGTGCGGTCAGTGCCATCCCCTCTGTGCCTTCTCTCTTTTCCCCCCTTGCTTTCTCTTTTGCTCCTCTTCCTTGCCCTCTCCCCCTTTGACATACAGACAGACATGTTGTAATGATTTTATACAACATGCACATGCTAGAATTGGTGTAGGTTTGTTGGGTGTATCTCCAACCACAATATGTGGTTGAAGCTTGGTTGGGCTGGGTTTCCAACAATGATTGGGCCCCCAATATTGTTGGTTCAAACCCACTTAACAATTACTGGAGCCCCAATAATCGTTGGCCAAGCTCATCCATCAACCATTCTCTCCGCCTTGCCTCATTCAGCCCAAATCCATACACTCTTCTTTTTCAAAACACGCGCGCATCCCATCCTCTCGTTTTCGTGCTCCCCACCATGCATCCCACCATGCATCCCACCATGCATCCCACCATGCATCCCACCATGCATCCCACCATGCATCCCACCATGCATCCCACCATGCATCCCACCATGCATCCCACCATGCACCCCACCATGCATCCCACCATGCGTCACACCATTCGTCTCACCATGCGTCTCACCATGCTTGTCATGCCCACCCACCCCCGCTCTTCCCCCAGCCATCCACAGCTGCTGCACTACTCATTGGAGGATGCGGTGCGCCCGCGGGTGGCATTCCTCAGAAGCATCGGCCTCTCCAGCCGGGATGTCGCTCACGTGCTCTTCCGCCTGCCCCAGGTGTGCTCTTCCGCCTGCCCCAGGTGTGCTCTTCCGCCTGCCCCAGGTGTGCTCTTCCGCCTGCCCCAGGTGTGCTTAACAGCGTGTTGTGCCAACCCCCATCTTCTAACACCTCTGTACCCCCCTTCACTGTCAGATCCTCTCCCTCTCAGTGCGCAACTGCCTGGCGCCCAAGTACGACTACCTCATCCACCACCTGGGCGGCTCGCCCAACTCCATAGTCTCCTTCCCCGCCTACTTCTCCCTCTCCCTGCATGCCCGCATCCGCCCGCGCCACCTCTTCTACCTGCGCTGCCGAGCCACCTCCTCACCTGCCGCCGACCCTCTTCTGCCGTCTCTTCTGGCCGCGCCATCAGCTAACGACCCTTCCACCTCGCCCCGTGCTGCCACCTCCTCATCTCCTGCCGCTCCCACCTCCCTGTCCGCGCTGCCACTGCCCACATCTCTCATGCCACCACCGCCGGCCCCGCACCCAGCCCAACCCGCCCACCCCTTCGCCTTTCTCTCATCCGCCCGGCCCTTCTCAGAGCCCTCCTCTCCGCCTCCCCCACCCCAAGCGCCGCTGCCCTCCACGGCGTTCCCTTTGAGCCTGCTGACTCCCACGGACGAGGCCTTCTGCAGGCGCCTGGGGCTGCCCAACGACCTCCAGTACCAGGCCTTCAAACTCGCCCTCGCCTCCCCTGCTGCCCCGCCACCCCAGGCAACTCAGGGTCCACTCGTGCATGCTTCTGCTGCACTGCCGCCTGCAGCAGCACAACCAGCAGCAGGGGTGTTGAGGAGAGGGAAAGGAGGGCCCGTCACACATCTGACATCACCTGCCGGAGGAGAAAGCACAAGAGAATCGACGGTCCAGGGGAGTTGACAAAGCCATGCCAGGAAGGAATCGAGGAAAGACTTTGAAACACCAGGATGGCAATCGCCTTGGGTTACGATTTATCTTGTTTTCGAATCGTGGGGAGGCTGTAAGAGTTTCAGGGTTAAGCCGAATGGAGTGAGGATGTTTTTTGGTACAAAATTATTTTACACCGTTTGTCAGCCCACACATCTACATTTGCTTTGCATGTGTATTTTGTAGGCTAGGTTGGGCTGTACTATAGAGGGCATAGAATGTTAGATACAGTAGTAAAGCCCGATAAGGAAAATAAAATTTTCATCAACCACCCTAAATTACCTAGCTAAAAGTACCATATGATGGCAAAGCAAAATAAGCACCAAAGCGAGCCTCTTCTTCCGGTGATACCAAAATCAGAAAGAAAGGCAAGAGTAAAAGGCTCAGTAATTCCCGAGAAGATAGCGCCGCCATTCGGAGGTGGCAGGTGGGGGGCCAGGCACCCAGCATGGAGGCACTGACGAGCCTGGGGCAAGCACATCTGGGGACAGCGACGCAGCAGTAGCAGCAGCAGCAGCCGCAGCAGCGGCAGGAGCAGCAGGCGGACCTTCAAGCATGAAGGAGGAGGTCGGTGAGAGGAGCTGATGGGTGTGAGCGACGAGAGCGCGTAGAGGGCGATAAGGTACTTGGGGGTGAGGGGTTGGGGCAGAGCAAGGCAGGGGCAGCAGGAAGGCGTCCCACCGGCGCCGCACTGCTGCGAGGCCATGCAGGGACAGGTGGTGTGCTCCCCCCTCCCTGCTGCCACGCATGCCTGCCTGCCCCTGGCCATGCCCTGCCTCCTCCATGCCCCCACCATCTCCCCCACCCCCACCATCTCCCCCACCCCCACCATCTCCCCCACCCCCACCATCTCCCCCACCCCCACCATCTCCCCCACCCCCACCATCTCCCCCACCCCCACCATCTCCCCCACCCCCACCATCTCCCCCACCCCCACCATCTCCCCCACCCCCACCATCTCCCCCACCCCCACCATCTCCCCCACCCCCACCATCTCCCCACCCCCACCATCTCCCCCACCCCCACCATCTCCCCCACCCCCACCATCTCCCCCACCCCCACCATCTCCCCCACCCCCACCATCTCCCCCACCCCCACCATCTCCCCCACCCCCACCATCTCCCCCACCCCCACCATCTCCCCCACCCCCACCATCTCCCCCACCCCCACCATCTCCCCCACCCCACCATCTCCCCCACCCCCACCATCTCCCCCACCCCCACCATCTCCCCCACCCCCACCATCTCCCCCACCCCCACCATCTCCCCCACCCCCACCATCTCCCCCACCCCCACCATCTCCCCCACCCCCACCATCTCCCCCACCCCCACCATCTCCCCCACCCCCACCATCTCCCCCACCCCCACCATCTCCCCCACCCCCACCATCTCCCCCACCCCCACCATCTCCCCCACCCCCACCATCTCCCCCACCCCCACCATCTCCCCCACCCCCACCATCTCCCCCACCCCCACCATCTCCCCCACCCCCACCATCTCCCCACCCCCACCATCTCCCCACCCCACCATCTCCCCCACCCCCACCATCTCCCCCACCCCCACCATCTCCCCCACCCCCACCATCTCCCCCACCCCCACCATCTCCCCCACCCCCACCATCTCCCCCACCCCCACCATCTCCCCCACCCCCACCATCTCCCCCACCCCCACCATCTCCCCCACCCCCACCATCTCCCCCACCCCCACCATCTCCCCCACCCCCACCATCTCCCCCACCCCCACCATCTCCCCCACCCCCACCATCTCCCCCACCCCCACCATCTCCCCCACCCCCACCATCTCCCCCACCCCCACCATCTCCCCCACCCCCACCATCTCCCCCACCCCCACCATCTCCCCCACCCCCACCATCTCCCCCACCCCCACCATCTCCCCCACCCCCACCATCTCCCCCACCCCCACCATCTCCCCCACCCCCACCATCTCCCCCACCCCCACCATCTCCCCCACCCCCACCATCTCCCCCACCCCCACCATCTCCCCACCCCCACCATCTCCCCCACCCCCACCATCTCCCCCACCCCCACCATCTCCCCCACCCCCACCATCTCCCCCACCCCCACCATCTCCCCCACCCCCACCATCTCCCCCACCCCCACCATCTCCCCCACCCCCACCATCTCCCCCACCCCCACCATCTCCCCCACCCCCACCATCTCCCCCACCCCCACCATCTCCCCCACCCCCACCATCTCCCCCACCCCCACCATCTCCCCCACCCCCACCATCTCCCCCACCCCCACCATCTCCCCCACCCCCACCATCTCCCCCACCCCCACCATCTCCCCCACCCCCACCATCTCCCCCACCCCCACCATCTCCCCCACCCCCACCATCTCCCCCACCCCCACCATCTCCCCCACCCCCACCATCTCCCCCACCCCCACCATCTCCCCCACCCCCACCATCTCCCCCACCCCCACCATCTCCCCCACCCCCACCATCTCCCCCACCCCCACCATCTCCCCCACCCCCACCATCTCCCCCACCCCCACCATCTCCCCCACCCCCACCATCTCCCCCACCCCCACCATCTCCCCCACCCCCACCATCTCCCCCACCCCCACCATCTCCCCCACCCCCACCATCTCCCCCACCCCCACCATCTCCCCCACCCCCACCATCTCCCCCACCCCCACCATCTCCCCCACCCCCACCATCTCCCCCACCCCCACCATCTCCCCCACCCCCACCATCTCCCCCACCCCCACCATCTCCCCCACCCCCACCATCTCCCCCACCCCCACCATCTCCCCCACCCCCACCATCTCCCCCACCCCCACCATCTCCCCCACCCCCACCATCTCCCCCACCCCCACCATCTCCCCCACCCCCACCATCTCCCCCACCCCCACCATCTCCCCCACCCCCACCATCTCCCCCACCCCCACCATCTCCCCCACCCCCACCATCTCCCCCACCCCCACCATCTCCCCCACCCCCACCATCTCCCCCACCCCCACCATCTCCCCCACCCCCACCATCTCCCCCACCCCCACCATCTCCCCCACCCCCACCATCTCCCCCACCCCCACCATCTCCCCCACCCCCACCATCTCCCCCACCCCCACCATCTCCCCCACCCCCACCATCTCCCCCACCCCCACCATCTCCCCCACCCCCACCATCTCCCCCACCCCCACCATCTCCCCCACCCCCACCATCTCCCCCACCCCCACCATCTCCCCCACCCCCACCATCTCCCCCACCCCCACCATCTCCCCCACCCCCACCATCTCCCCCACCCCCACCATCTCCCCCACCCCCACCATCTCCCCCACCCCCACCATCTCCCCCACCCCCACCATCTCCCCCACCCCCACCATCTCCCCCACCCCCACCATCTCCCCCACCCCCACCATCTCCCCCACCCCCACCATCTCCCCCACCCCCACCATCTCCCCCACCCCCACCATCTCCCCCACCCCCACCATCTCCCCCACCCCCACCATCTCCCCCACCCCCACCATCTCCCCCACCCCCACCATCTCCCCCACCCCCACCATCTCCCCCACCCCCACCATCTCCCCCACCCCCACCATCTCCCCCACCCCCACCATCTCCCCCACCCCCACCATCTCCCCCACCCCCACCATCTCCCCCACCCCCACCATCTCCCCCACCCCCACCATCTCCCCCACCCCCACCATCTCCCCCACCCCCACCATCTCCCCCACCCCCACCATCTCCCCCACCCCCACCATCTCCCCCACCCCACCATCTCCCCCACCCCCACCATCTCCCCCACCCCCACCATCTCCCCCACCCCCACCATCTCCCCCACCCCCACCATCTCCCCCACCCCCACCATCTCCCCCACCCCCACCATCTCCCCCACCCCCACCATCTCCCCCACCCCCACCATCTCCCCCACCCCCACCATCTCCCCCACCCCCACCATCTCCCCCACCCCCACCATCTCCCCCACCCCCACCATCTCCCCCACCCCCACCATCTCCCCCACCCCCACCATCTCCCCATCTCCCCCACCCCACCATCTCCCCCACCCCCACCATCTCCCCCACCCCCACCATCTCCCCCACCCCCACCATCTCCCCCACCCCCACCATCTCCCCCACCCCCACCATCTCCCCCACCCCCACCATCTCCCCCACCCCCACCATCTCCCCCACCCCCACCATCTCCCCCACCCCCACCATCTCCACCCCCCACCATCTCCCCCACCCCCACCATCTCCCCCACCCCCACCATCTCCCCCACCCCCACCATCTCCCCCACCCCCACCATCTCCCCCACCCCCACCATCTCCCCCACCCCCACCATCTCCCCCACCCCCACCATCTCCCCCACCCCCACCATCTCCCCCACCCCCACCATCTCCCCCACCCCCACCATCTCCCCCACCCCCACCATCTCCCCCACCCCACCATCTCCCCCACCCCCACCATCTCCCCCACCCCACCCCCACCATCTCCCCCACCCCCACCATCTCCCCCACCCCCACCATCTCCCCCACCCCCACCATCTCCCCCACCCCCACCATCTCCCCCACCCCCACCATCTCCCCCACCCCCACCATCTCCCCCACCCCCACCATCTCCCCCACCCCCACCATCTCCCCCACCCCCACCATCTCCCCCACCCCCACCATCTCCCCCACCCCCACCATCTCCCCCACCCCCACCATCTCCCCACCCCCACCATCTCCCCCACCCCCACCATCTCCCCCACCCCCACCATCTCCCCCACCCCCACCATCTCCCCCACCCCCACCATCTCCCCCACCCCCACCATCTCCCCCACCCCCACCATCTCCCCCACCCCCACCATCTCCCCCACCCCCACCATCTCCCCCACCCCCACCATCTCCCCCACCCCCACCATCTCCCCCACCCCCACCATCTCCCCCACCCCCACCATCTCCCCTCCCCCACCCCCACCATCTCCCCACCCCCACCATCTCCCCCACCCCCACCATCTCCCCCACCCCCACCATCTCCCCCACCCCACCATCTCCCCACCCCCACCATCTCCCCCACCCCCACCATCTCCCCCACCCCCACCATCTCCCCCACCCCCACCATCTCCCCCACCCCCACCATCTCCCCCACCCCCACCATCTCCCCCACCCCCACCATCTCCCCCACCCCCACCATCTCCCCCACCCCCACCATCTCCCCCACCCCCACCATCTCCCCCACCCCCACCATCTCCCCCACCCCCACCATCTCCCCCACCCCCACCATCTCCCCCACCCCCACCATCTCCCCCACCCCCACCATCTCCCCCACCCCCACCATCTCCCCCACCCCCACCATCTCCCCCACCCCCACCATCTCCCCCACCCCCACCATCTCCCCCACCCCCACCATCTCCCCCACCCCCACCATCTCCCCCACCCCCACCATCTCCCCCACCCCCACCATCTCCCCCACCCCCACCATCTCCCCACCCCCACCATCTCCCCCACCCCCACCATCTCCCCCACCCCCACCATCTCCCCCACCCCCACCATCTCCCCACCCCCACCATCTCCCCCACCCCACCATCTCCCCCACCCCCACCATCTCCCCCACCCCCACCATCTCCCCCACCCCCACCATCTCCCCCACCCCCACCATCTCCCCACCCCACCATCTCCCCCACCCCCACCATCTCCCCCACCCCCACCATCTCCCCCACCCCCACCATCTCCCCCACCCCCACCATCTCCCCCACCCCCACCATCTCCCCCACCCCCACCATCTCCCCCACCCCCACCATCTCCCCCACCCCCACCATCTCCCCCACCCCCACCATCTCCCCCACCCCCACCATCTCCCCCACCCCCACCATCTCCCCCACCCCCACCATCTCCCCCACCCCCACCATCTCCCCCACCCCCACCATCTCCCCCACCCCCACCATCTCCCCCACCCCCACCATCTCCCCCACCCCCACCATCTCCCCCACCCCCACCATCTCCCCCACCCCCACCATCTCCCCCACCCCCACCATCTCCCCCACCCCCACCATCTCCCCCACCCCCACCATCTCCCCCACCCCCACCATCTCCCCCACCCCCACCATCTCCCCCACCCCCACCATCTCCCCCACCCCCACCATCTCCCCCACCCCCACCATCTCCCCACCCCACCATCTCCCCCCACCATCTCCCCCACCCCCACCATCTCCCCCACCCCCACCATCTCCCCCACCCCCACCATCTCCCCCACCCCCACCATCTCCCCCACCCCCACCATCTCCCCCACCCCCACCATCTCCCCCACCCCACCATCTCCCCCACCCCCACCATCTCCCCCACCCCCACCATCTCCCCCACCCCCACCATCTCCCCCACCCCCACCATCTCCCCCACCCCCACCATCTCCCCCACCCCCACCATCTCCCCCACCCCCACCATCTCCCCACCCCCACCATCTCCCCCACCCCCACCATCTCCCCCACCCCCACCATCTCCCCCACCCCCACCATCTCCCCCACCCCCACCATCTCCCCCACCCCCACCATCTCCCCCACCCCCACCATCTCCCCCACCCCCACCATCTCCCCCACCCCCACCATCTCCCCCACCCCCACCATCTCCCCCACCCCCACCATCTCCCCCACCCCCACCATCTCCCCCACCCCCACCATCTCCCCCACCCCCACCATCTCCCCCACCCCCACCATCTCCCCCACCCCCACCATCTCCCCCACCCCCACCATCTCCCCCACCCCCACCATCTCCCCCACCCCCACCATCTCCCCCACCCCCACCATCTCCCCCACCCCCACCATCTCCCCCACCCCCACCATCTCCCCACCCCCACCATCTCCCCCACCCCCACCATCTCCCCCACCCCCACCATCTCCCCCACCCCCACCATCTCCCCCACCCCCACCATCTCCCCCACCCCCACCATCTCCCCCACCCCCACCATCTCCCCCACCCCCACCATCTCCCCCACCCCCACCATCTCCCCCACCCCCACCATCTCCCCCACCCCCACCATCTCCCCCACCCCCACCATCTCCCCCACCCCCACCATCTCCCCCACCCCCACCATCTCCCCCACCCCACCATCTCCCCCACCCCCACCATCTCCCCACCCCCACCATCTCCCCCACCCCCACCATCTCCCCCACCCCCACCATCTCCCCCACCCCCACCATCTCCCCCACCCCCACCATCTCCCCCACCCCCACCATCTCCCCCACCCCCACCATCTCCCCCACCCCCACCATCTCCCCCACCCCCACCATCTCCCCCACCCCCACCATCTCCCCCACCCCCACCATCTCCCCCACCCCCACCATCTCCCCCACCCCCACCATCTCCCCCACCCCCACCATCTCCCCCACCCCCACCATCTCCCCCACCCCCACCATCTCCCCCACCCCCACCATCTCCCCCACCCCCACCATCTCCCCCACCCCCACCATCTCCCCCACCCCCACCATCTCCCCCACCCCCACCATCTCCCCCACCCCCACCATCTCCCCCACCCCCACCATCTCCCCCACCCCCACCATCTCCCCCACCCCCACCATCTCCCCCACCCCCACCATCTCCCCCACCCCCACCATCTCCCCCACCCCCACCATCTCCCCCACCCCCACCATCTCCCCCACCCCCACCATCTCCCCCACCCCCACCATCTCCCCCACCCCCACCATCTCCCCCACCCCCACCATCTCCCCCACCCCCACCATCTCCCCCACCCCCACCATCTCCCCCACCCCCACCATCTCCCCCACCCCCACCATCTCCCCCACCCCCACCATCTCCCCCACCCCCACCATCTCCCCCACCCCCACCATCTCCCCCACCCCCACCATCTCCCCCACCCCCACCATCTCCCCCACCCCCACCATCTCCCCCACCCCCACCATCTCCCCCACCCCCACCATCTCCCCCACCCCCACCATCTCCCCCACCCCCACCATCTCCCCCACCCCCACCATCTCCCCCACCCCCACCATCTCCCCCACCCCCACCATCTCCCCCACCCCCACCATCTCCCCCACCCCCACCATCTCCCCACCCCCACCATCTCCCCCACCCCCACCATCTCCCCCACCCCCACCATCTCCCCCACCCCCACCATCTCCCCCACCCCCACCATCTCCCCCACCCCCACCATCTCCCCCACCCCCACCATCTCCCCCATCCCCACCATCTCCCCCACCCCCACCAACTCCCCCATCCCCACCATCTCCCCCACCCCCACCAACTCCCCCATCCCCACCAACTCCCCCACCCCCACCATCTCCCCCACCCCCACCATCTCCCCCACCCCCACCATCTCCCCCACCCCCACCATCTCCCCCATCCCCACCATCTCCCCCATCCCCACCATCTCCCCCATCCCCACCATCTCCCCCATCCCCACCATCTCCCCCATCCCCACCATCTCCCCCATCCCCACCATCTCCCCCATCCCCACCATCTCCCCCATCCCCACCATCTCCCCCATCCCCACCATCTCCCCCATCCCCACCATCTCCCCCATCCCCACCATCTCCCCCATCCCCACCATCTCCCCCATCCCCACCATCTCCCCCACCCCCACCATCTCCCCCACCCCCACCATCTCCCCCACCCCCACCATCTCCCCCATCCCCACCATCTCCCCCATCCCCACCATCTCCCCCATCCCCACCATCTCCCCCATCCCCACCATCTCCCCCATCCCCACCATCTCCCCCATCCCCACCATCTCCCCCATCCCCACCATCTCCCCCATCCCCACCATCTCCCCCATCCCCACCATCTCCCCCATCCCCACCATCTCCCCCATCCCCACCATCTCCCCCATCCCCACCATCTCCCCCACCCCCACCATCTCCCCCACCCCCACCATCTCCCCCACCCCCACCATCTCCCCCACCCCCACCAACTCCCCCATCCCCACCATCTCCCCCACCCCCACCAACTCCCCCATCCCCACCATCTCCCCCACCCCCACCAACTCCCCCATCCCCACCATCTCCCCCACCCCCACCATCTCCCCCACCCCCACCATCTCCCCCACCCCCACCATCTCCCCCACCCCCACCATCTCCCCCACCCCCACCAACTCCCCCATCCCCACCATCTCCCCCACCCCCACCAACTCCCCCATCCCCACCATCTCCCCCACCCCCACCAACTCCCCCATCCCCACCATCTCCCCCATCCCCACCATCTCCCCCATCCCCACCATCTCCCCCATCCCCACCATCTCCCCCATCCCCACCATCTCCCCCATCCCCACCATCTCCCCCATCCCCACCATCTCCCCCATCCCCACCATCTCCCCCATCCCCACCATCTCCCCCATCCCCACCATCTCCCCCATCCCCACCATCTCCCCCATCCCCACCATCTCCCCCATCCCCACCATCTCCCCCATCCCCACCATCTCCCCCATCCCCACCATCTCCCCCATCCCCACCATCTCCCCCATCCCCACCATCTCCCCCATCCCCACCATCTCCCCCATCCCCACCATCTCCCCCATCCCCACCATCTCCCCCATCCCCACCATCTCCCCCATCCCCACCATCTCCCCCATCCCCACCATCTCCCCCATCCCCACCATCTCCCCCATCCCCACCATCTCCCCCATCCCCACCATCTCCCCCATCCCCACCATCTCCCCCATCCCCACCAACTCCCCCATCCCCACCATCTCCCCCATCCCCACCAACTCCCCCATCCCCACCATCTCCCCCATCCCCACCATCTCCCCCATCTCCCCCATCCCCACCATCCCCTCCGCTCCCACCAACGGCCGTTCTCGCTTCCGCTGCCCGCTGTTCCCACACACATGCTCTGAGCTTTGCTTCCTCTTTTACACCCCCTCTCCCCTCCTCGACCTCCTCCCCATCTCCCCTCCCTTTCTCGTGCCCCTCCGCCCCTCCCCTCCCCTCCTCGTGTCCGCCCCCTGCTGATTCAGGAGACCTTAATGGCACGTTCTGTAAAAACGAGACCTTCACTAAACCGTGGTTCGCACACAAAGACAAACATGTTGCAGGCGTTTGTACGTGCCGATGAGACAGAACTGAGGGAAAAGCTATTCAAAAGAAATCTCTACTTCTGAAGACACACTTCCCCCAGATCAGCCCGAAAAACAGGCAGCGTTTGGGAAAACCTGGAAGCCACGTCTCGAGCCCCCGAGGTTGTCTTCGTTCGTAACAGGGCCTGATCCTTCGCCTGATCCATTACCTGATTTTACCTGTTCTTTCACCCAATCTTTCGCTTCACTGCAAGCTCGAACGAAGCTTCGACAAGCTTTCAAAAAGCTAAACCTTATTCTTCCAAGCATTAAGAAACCTTTCTGCATAGACTCTGCATGTGAAAAGCCTATCGTCCCCCCTCTCTTCCCCCTTTCCCTGCCCTGCTCACCTAGTCTTCATCCTTGCACACCTATCTCCCCCTCCCCCCCCTCCTCCCCTCGTCCCATCACTCACCGCGTTTGCGAGCGCGCAGCCCTCGCAGGCGCCGCAGCTCCCTCAGGCGCGCCAGCAGCAGGAGCGCGTCCACCTGGGGGGCGTGCGCCCGGTGCATGGAGGGGGGGGAGAGATGGGGGGGACGGAGGGAGCGTGGAAGGAGGGAGAGAGGGTGGAGCGGAAAAGTGGCAGGCCGAGCAGCTCCCTCAGGCGCGCCTGCAGCAGCAGCGCGTCCACCTGCCGGCAGGTGGGTGGGGGGATGCAGCGGGGGAGAAAGGGAGGGGAAAGGGAGGGGGGAGGTTGGAAGGAGGGAGAAAGGAGCGAGCATGCAGCAGTGGCAGGCAGCAGTGGCAGGCAGCAGTGGCAGGCAGCAGTGGCAGGCAGCAGTGGCAGGCAGCGTGGGTCCCTGAGGCGCACCAGCAGCATGCGCGCATCCCTGCTCCAGCACCGTGCATGGCGCACGGGGGGAGGGAGGGAATGGGAGGGAGAGAAAGGGGGGAGGGAGGGAGTGGGGATGGAGGAGGGGGAAGAGAGGGGAGGGAAGGGACCCTCAGCTGCGCCAGCAGCATGAGCGCATCCACCTGCTGGCAGCATGAGCGCATCCACGCCTGGAGTGCGCACGTGCAATCGGCGCCTGCATTACTCCCCAACACGCAAGCCACCCATCTGCGCTGCCCAACACGCATCACCCATCTGCGCTGCCCAACACGCAAGCCACCCATCTGCGCTGCCCAACACGCATCACCCATCTGCGCTGCCCAACACGCAAGCCACCCATCTGCGCTGCCCAACACGCATCACCCATCTGCGCTGCACGCAAGCCACCCATCTGCGCTGCCCAACACGCATCACCCATCTGCGCTGCCCAACACGCATCACCCATCTGCGCTGCCCAACACGCAAGCCACCCATCTGCGCTGCCCAACACGCATCACCCATCTGCGCTGCCCAACACGCAAGCCACCCATCTGCGCTGCCCAACACGCATCAACCCATCTGCGCTGCCCAACACGCAAGCCACCCATCTGCGCTGCCCAACACGCATCACCCATCTGCGCTGCCCAACACGCAAGCCACCCATCTGCGCTGCCCAACACGCATCACCCATCTGCGCTGCCCAACACGCAAGCCACCCATCTGCGCTGCCCAACACGCATCACCCATCTGCGCTGCCCAACACGCAAGCCACCCATCTGCGCTGCCCAACACGCATCACCCATCTGCGCTGCCCAACACGCATCACCCATCTGCGCTGCCCAACACGCAAGCCACCCATCTGCGCTGCCCAACACGCATCACCCATCTGCGCTGCCCAACACGCAAGCCACCCATCTGCGCTGCCCAACACGCATCAACCCATCTGCGCTGCCCAACACGCAAGCCACCCATCTGCGCTGCCCAACACGCATCACCCATCTGCGCTGCCCAACACGCATCACCCATCTGCGCTGCCCAACACGCATCACCCATCTGCGCTGCCCAACACGCATCACCCATCTGCGCTGCCCAACACGCAAGCCACCCATCTGCGCTGCCCAACACGCATCACCCATCTGCGCTGCCCAACACGCATCACCCATCTGCGCTGCCCAACACGCAAGCCACCCATCTGCGCTGCCCAACACGCATCACCCATCTGCGCTGCCCAACACGCATCACCCATCTGCGCTGCCCAACACGCATCACCCATCTGCGCTGCCCAACACGCATCACCCATCTGCGCTGCCCAACCCGCATCACCCATCTGCGCTGCCCAACACGCATCACCCATCTGCGCTGCCCAACACGCAAGCCACCCATCTGCGCTGCCCAACACACATCACCCATCTGCGCTGCCCAACACGCATCACCCATCTGCGCTGCCCAACACGCAAGCTACCCATCTGCGCTGCCCAACACGCATCACCCATCTGCGCTGCCCAACACGCAAGCCACCCATCTGCGCTGCCCAACACGCATCACCCATCTGCGCTGCCCAACACGCATCACCCATCTGCGCTGCCCAACACGCATCACCCATCTGCGCTGCCCAACACGCATCACCCATCTGCGCTGCCCAACACGCAAGCCACCCATCTGCGCTGCCCAACACGCATCACCCATCTGCGCTGCCCAACACGCAAGCCACCCATCTGCGCTGCCCAACACGCATCACCCATCTGCGCTGCCCAACACGCATCACCCATCTGCGCTGCCCAACACGCATCACCCATCTGCGCTGCCCAACACGCAAGCCACCCATCTGCGCTGCCCAACACGCATCACCCATCTGCGCTGCCCAACACGCATCACCCATCTGCGCTGCCCAACACGCAAGCCACCCATCTGCGCTGCCCAACACGCATCACCCATCTGCGCTGCCCAACACGCAAGCCACCCATCTGCGCTGCCCAACACGCATCAACCCATCTGCGCTGCCCAACACGCAAGCCACCCATCTGCGCTGCCCAACACGCATCACCCATCTGCGCTGCCCAACACGCATCACCCATCTGCGCTGCCCAACACGCATCACCCATCTGCGCTGCCCAACACGCATCACCCATCTGCGCTGCCCAACACGCAAGCCACCCATCTGCGCTGCCCAACACGCATCACCCATCTGCGCTGCCCAACACGCATCACCCATCTGCGCTGCCCAACACGCAAGCCACCCATCTGCGCTGCCCAACACGCATCACCCATCTGCGCTGCCCAACACGCAAGCCACCCATCTGCGCTGCCCAACACGCATCACCCATCTGCGCTGCCCAACACGCATCACCCATCTGCGCTGCCCAACACGCATCACCCATCTGCGCTGCCCAACACGCAAGCCACCCATCTGCGCTGCCCAACACGCATCACCCATCTGCGCTGCCCAACACGCATCACCCATCTGCGCTGCCCAACACGCATCACCCATCTGCGCTGCCCAACACGCATCACCCATCTGCGCTGCCCAACCCGCATCACCCATCTGCGCTGCCCAACACGCATCACCCATCTGCGCTGCCCAACACGCAAGCCACCCATCTGCGCTGCCCAACACGCATCACCCATCTGCGCTGCCACTGACACACGCAAGCCACCCATCTCTGTGCACAATACACCATCTTCATCCCACTCACAGCTTCACCGCACTGCATCTGCTTTCACCACACTGCACCTGCTTCTGCAGCTGGGCTCGCTCCCTCTTCTCCCTAGCCTCTTCCTCCGCCTGCTGCTGGCGTGCCTACCAGGGCAGGGCAGGGCAGGGCAGGGCAGGGCAGGGCAGGGAGGAATGGTACAGTGGAAGAGAGCAGCAGTGGCGACAGAGTGAGATGCTTGAAGTCAATGCTGCATTGTGTGACCACCGGAGATAGCCGCAGAGGGGACAGCAGCAGTGGGCCAGAGAGGCATGCTTAAACGACTTGTCCCCCATGCCTGTGCACAGAGTGAGAGCAGATTACGCAGGCTTAAACGACTTGTCCCCCATGCCTGTGCACGCATGTACACAGTTTAGCACTCACCATGCTCCACTCACCATGCGCCACTCACCATGCGCCACTCACCATGCGCCACTCACCATGCGCCACTCACCATGCGCCACTCACCATGCGCCACTCACCATGCTCCACTGACCATGCCCCACTCACCATGCGCCACTCACCATGCTCCACTCACCATGCGCCACTGACCATGCGCCACTCACCATGCGCCACTCACCATGCGCCACTCACCATGCGCCACTGACCATGCGCCACTCACCATGCGCCACTCACCATGCGCCACTCACCATGCGCCACTCACCATGCGCGCCTGTGCATCTCTCTCCATCACCCGCGCCCGCCACGCGTCTATTCTTGCCTCCACCGCCCGCCGCTGCTCCTCCCTCTGCCCCACCCACGGCACTCCGCACGCCCACATGCCCACGTAGGGCCCACCCATCAGAGAAGGGGGGAAGAGCGGGAGGGGGGAAAGAGGGTGTTGGAAGGGAGGGAATGGTGGGGGGGAGGGGGTGTAGGTTAGGAAAGGAGTAAGTGCGGATGGCAACATAAAAGAAAGTGGGAGAGGGTAGAGAAGCAGAGCTTAGTGTGGTCAGAGAGAGTGAGGGGAGCGTGGTGGAAGAAACGAGGGTCGTGGGGGGGCGGTGGTTATGGTGGAGTTGGAAAGTGAGTGCGGGCGAGAGCATGAGGGGAGCAAGGGGGGGAAGAGGGAAAGAAGCACTGCTTGTTCTCCTTTTCGCCTCTACCTGCTGCTCACCTGCTGCCATGCCACTGCCTGCTCTGCTCGCCTCCTCGCCCGCCATCGCTTCTTCCTCATCGCCCTGCCCCCTGCCCTCACCACTCGCAGCGCCTCCACTCGCTCCACCCACCCCCCCCCTCGCTCGCTCCCACTGGCCTCACCGCCCTTCCCTGCGTCCCCACCCCCACACCCTTCCGCTGCGCTCCCCCAGCCGCCGTCACTTGCTGCCTCTCTGCCGCCGCCACCCTCCCACCGCTCCTCCTCGTCCCCACCTCCCACACCCGCAGTCCCCCCAGTGCCGTGCACGGCGAGCAGCACGCGGGTGAGCGGCGCCATGGCCCGCTGCACCTCGCCGCCCACCTGCTCGCCTGCTCGCGCCCACACCGCCTGCGCGTCTGCCCACACTGCTGCTTCTGCCCGCGCGCCTGCTTCTGCCCGCGCGCCTGCTTCTGCTGCCGATTCTGCCGCTGCAAGTGCAGTGGGTTTGGGTGCTGCGGCAGCCCTATTGCTCGCCTGCTGTGCGCCTGGCGCCGCTGCTGGCGCTGCTGGCGGCAAGCACTGGCCCTCGTGCAGGCTGGTGGGGGCGAGGGGACCGGATTCGGGCAGGCACACGAGAAAATCAAGCAATGGGAGTGAGGGTGAGTGATGGGTGGCTGTGTGGGGCGGTGACCGGGATTGGAATGGTGACAGTGCGAGAAGAGGGTGGGGGTAATGACAAAGAGCGGGGAGCTGGGCGGAGGGCGCACAGGGCGGAGAGGAGCTGCGAGTGGCGCCACAGCGCCTCCACCGCTCGCCGCACCTCCTCCGCGCACCTATATCCCGCGCCTTCCCTGTCGCCCCCCACGTCGCTCCTCACACTCGCCCCCGTTGCACCACGTCCCGTCCCCCACGTCCCGTCCCCCACGTCCCGTCCCCGCCGTTCGTTCCGCTCATCAGCACTCCTGAGCCCGCTACCGCCAATCGGTTCCCCCCATCCGCCACAGTCGCCCCCTCGCATCCGCCCTTCCAGCCATCCGCGCATCCCACTCCGCCACCAGCGCGGTGCGCGCGCTGTGTGCTGCGCGTTGCAGCGCCGCGAACGGGGTGGCGCACAAGACTACGCGGCGCTGCTGCGCTGCCTCAGGGGCGACGTCGGTGGAACGAACGCGCGATGCTCGCAACGGCTACGATACGCGGCCTTGCCGACACGCCTCGCTGCGGCGCGTGGGAATCTCGCTGCGGCGCGTGGGCAAAGCGGGCGAATGTCGTGGGCCTCGTCGCAGGGGTTCAATCTACCTGGCAGGAGCGTGGCACTCCTCGCGCAGCTGGGCTCAACGGACTCGACGAGGCTAAGAAACGAACGGTCGATCAGCAGCAAGCCTCCTCGCGGTAAATCTAAGGGAAATATTTAATGCTAAAGCTAAGCAGAAGCAGGGGTCAAGATTTCGTGAATTCGTAATCGGTCTAGATGCGTGGAAACGCATTTCATCAGCGCGGGCGCACACTGCTCTCGACGCCTCCCACGCGTGGCGGTAGCGCGGCGAGATGACCTCCCTCAACTCACCGATTCAACGCAGCCCTATTCTGCGTGGTGAGTGGCTAGCACGCGGTGGATGCGCAACCCTAATCTGCGTCCGTCACGCCAAGTCCCCAGCGAACCCTCGGTTCCAATTTTTCTGGTTGACGCCATACCGAACCGCCTTCGCGGCGTCTTCCGCAACGCGCCGATTTCTGCAGCGTGGGGGAAGCGGGTGAATAGGTCTGCGCCGCCGCCTTCGTCTGTGCTCTCCACTTGAGAGTCGCCTCGCGTGCGTCATTAACATGGCCGCAGCGCTCCGCGCTGGGCGAATCAGCGCCGCGGATTTTCCGCTCGCCGCGGCCAAACTCGCAGCAGCGTGGAACGCGGCGGAAGACGCGCAGTCGGTTGGCGAGGCGACTCGCAGCTCCCCCGGGGCGCCAGACGCTCAGGGGAATGCAGAATCGGAGAGCGCAGTAGCATCGGAGAGCGCAGTAGCATCGGGCGCAGCAGGGCCAACTGCGCGGGGTGGTTCCGCTGCAGCGCAGAGGAGTGCGGCAGACGCGGTGGGCGAGCGACAGGGAAGAGATAAAACTCGCTGCGAGTTGCGCGCGGAGGGCGTGCAGTGGCAGTGGGTTGCGGCGCGGGCGTCGTCGCTGGCAGTGGGAGGTGAGGGCGCGGAGTGGGCGAGAGGGTGAGGAGGCGTGGTCGCGGTGAGACACACCTTTGCGCGCAGCGCACCCGCTCACCTCCCGGCTCCCTTCCTCCTTCCACCCCACCCCACCCCACCCGAAGCCCCCCCAAACACTCCACTCCCTCTCTCTCCCACCACTCTTCTGGTCATCCTCCCACCACTCTTCTGGTCATCCTCCCACCTATCAGCCCTCCCTGCCCTCTCCGTCCCCCTCTTTATCCGCCTCTCTCCCCTCCCTCACATCCACTCGCCCCTCGGTTCCCTCTTCCCCACTCCCGCCTTATCACTAGCTCCCTTCCTCTCGGATATCCACTCTCGCGCCCTCGACCTCCCGCACCCCCCGCTGCCATCAGACATTCACAGCTCACCCCATCATCCTTTCCTCTGCACCCTCCCTCCCACCGCCCTGGCCCAGGCGGCTACCTCACCACCCGCCACCCGCTGCTGCTGCACCGCGCGCCCAGCCAGCAGCACCCCGGCTGTTGCCCACTTGACTCAGAGGCTGCGGCTGGCTCGCCTCAAGTGGTTGACTCGGTTGACCCAACTCACTCCGCTGGCCCAGCTGGCCCGGTTGACTGGGCTGGTGCGGTTGACCTGAGGGGCGACGAGCCGCACGACCCTGCCACCCTGCACTGCTGCCGTCCTCCCAGGCGCACCGCATCGCCGCCGCAGTCTCCCCTGCATGCACCCAAGTCACCAGCAGCACGGTGCACAGCGGGGCCAAGCAAACTGGACAGCGCGTTGAGAGATGAGGGGGGGCCGCTTCGTGATGCCGCACGTGAAGCGAGGAGTGCACAGCCACCACCATGTGACGTGGCATCAAGTGACATGGCAGCAAGTGAAGTGCCATCAAGTGACGTGGCATCAAGTGACGTGGCATCAAGTGGCGTGGCATCAAGTGACATGGCATCAAGTGACACGGTGGTGTTGGTGCACTGCCACATGGTGTTTGATGCTGCTTACTCGGTGCCTCAACTGCTGCTCCTGCCATGCCTCCCAGGTGTGCCACCCATGCCATGCCAAGACATGCCAAGACATGCCAAGACATGCCAAGACATGCCAAGACATGCCAAGACATGCCAAGACATGCCAAGACATGCCATGTCATGCCATGTCATGCCATGTCACTGCTATACACCGTTGGGCCAACATATGCAAGCAAGCGGATCTCTCTCGCATCTACCTTAGCCAAACCTCCCCCCACGTGCCCCTCTGCTGCCCCCTTCCTCCGCCCCATCCCATCATCTTCCTGTCCATCACGCTCACCACCCGTCAGCTCCCAACCTTCCACCCACCCCTCTTTCCCCCCTCCCTGCACAGACGGCCGCCCCCTGCCCTGGCAGGACCTCTTTGCCTTCCTGCCGCGCCTTCCCGACCACCCCTTGCTGCCCTCACCCCTCCCCTCCGCCCCTCTTCCGCCCACCGCGCATGACCCCTCTCTGGACACCTGGCACCTGCTTACACCCCTGGTACGCCCCCACCCACAAGCTCCGTCATTCATGTGCTCACCACCAGGAAGCTATGCCCGTCCTAACTCATGCTCTCATGCACTGCATGCCTCCTTTTCCTTGGCCTTGCTTCACTCATTCAGCCGTCATTGTTGAACGCACTGCATTGCTCGCTGCCCATTGCCAAGGCTTCAAGCTCCCATGTGATCGCCCTCACTGCACTTCCAGTGCACCGTGCCATGTGATCACCCTCACTGCACTTCCAGTGCACCGTGCCATGTGATCACCCTCACTGCACTTCCAGTGCACCGTGCCATGTGATCACCCTCACTGCACTTCCAGTGCACCGTGCCATGTGATCGCCCTCACTGCACTTCCAGTGCACCGTGCCATGTGATCGCCCTCACTGCACTTCCAGTGCACCGTGCCATGTGATCGCCCTCACTGCACTTCCAGTGCACCGTGCCATGTGATCGCCCTCACTGCACTTCCAGTGCACCGTGCCATGTGATAGCCCTCACTGCACTTCCAGTGCACCGTGCCATGTGCTGCCCTCACTGCACTTCCAGTGCACCGTGCCATGTGATCGCCCTCACTGCACTTCCAGTGCACCGTGCCATGTGATCGCCCTCACTGCACTTCCAGTGCACCGTGCCATGTGATCGCCCTCACTGCACTTCCAGTGCACCGTGCCATGTGATCGCCCTCACTGCACTTCCAGTGCACCGTGCCATGTGATCGCCCTCACTGCACTTCCAGTGCACCGTGCCATGTGATCGCCCTCACTGCACTTCCAGTGCACCGTGCCATGTGATCGCCCTCACTGCACTTCCAGTGCACCGTGCCATGTGATCGCCCTCACTGCACTTCCAGTGCACCGTGCCATGTGCTGCCCTCACTGCACTTCCAGTGCACCGTGCCATGTGATCGCCCTCACTGCACTTCCAGTGCACCGTGCCATGTGATCGCCCTCACTGCACTTCCAGTGCACCGTGCCATGTGCTGCCCTCACTGCACTTCCAGTGCACCGTGCCATGTGCTGCCCTCACTGCACTTCCAGTGCACCGTGCCATGTGCTGCCCTCACTGCACTTCCAGTGCACCGTGCCATGTGATCGCCCTCACTGCACTTCCAGTGCACCGTGCCATGTGATCGCCCTCACTGCACTTCCAGTGCACCGTGCCATGTGATCGCCCTCACTGCACTTCCAGTGCACCGTGCCATGTGATCGCCCTCACTGCACTTCCAGTGCACCGTGCCATGTGATCGCCCTCACTGCACTTCCAGTGCACCGTGCCATGTGATCGCCCTCACTGCACTTCCAGTGCACCGTGCCATGTGATCGCCCTCACTGCACTTCCAGTGCACCGTGCCATGTGATCGCCCTCACTGCACTTCCAGTGCACCGTGCCATGTGCTGCCCTCACTGCACTTCCAGTGCACCGTGCCATGTGATCGCCCTCACTGCACTTCCAGTGCACCGTGCCATGTGATCGCCCTCACTGCACTTCCAGTGCACCGTGCCATGTGCTGCCCTCACTGCACTTCCAGTGCACCGTGCCATGTGATCGCCCTCACTGCACTTCCAGTGCACCGTGCCATGTGATCGCCCTCACTGCACTTCCAGTGCACCGTGCCATGTGCTCGCCCTCACTGCACTTCCAGTGCACCGTGCCATGTGATAGCCCTCACTGCACTTCCAGTGCACCGTGCCATGTGATCGCCCTCACTGCACTTCCAGTGCACCGTGCCATGTGATCGCCCTCACTGCACTTCCAGTGCACCGTGCCATGTGATCGCCCTCACTGCACTTCCAGTGCACCGTGCCATGTGATCGCCCTCACTGCACTTCCAGTGCACCGTGCCATGTGCTGCCCTCACTGCACTTCCAGTGCACCGTGCCATGTGATCGCCCTCACTGCACTTCCAGTGCACCGTGCCATGTGCTGCCCTCACTGCACTTCCAGTGCACCGTGCCATGTGATCGCCCTCACTGCACTTCCAGTGTACCGTGCCATGTGATCGCCCTCACTGCACTTCCAGTGCACCGTGCCATGTGATCGCCCTCACTGCACTTCCAGTGCACCGTGCCATGTGATCGCCCTCACTGCACTTCCAGTGCACCGTGCCATGTGATCGCCCTCACTGCACTTCCAGTGCACCGTGCCATGTGCTGCCCTCACTGCACTTCCAGTGCACCGTGCCATGTGCTGCCCTCACTGCACTTCCAGTGCACCGTGCCATGTGCTGCCCTCACTGCACTTCCAGTGCACCGTGCCATGTGATCGCCCTCACTGCACTTCCAGTGCACCGTGCCATGTGATCGCCCTCACTGCACTTCCAGTGCACCGTGCCATGTGATCGCCCTCACTGCACTTCCAGTGCACCGTGCCATGTGATCGCCCTCACTGCACTTCCAGTGCACCGTGCCATGTGATCGCCCTCACTGCACTTCCAGTGCACCGTGCCATGTGATCGCCCTCACTGCACTTCCAGTGCACCGTGCCATGTGCTCGCCCTCACTGCACTTCCAGTGCACCGTGCCATGTGATAGCCCTCACTGCACTTCCAGTGCACCGTGCCATGTGATCGCCCTCACTGCACTTCCAGTGCACCGTGCCATGTGATCGCCCTCACTGCACTTCCAGTGCACCGTGCCATGTGATCGCCCTCACTGCACTTCCAGTGCACCGTGCCATGTGATCGCCCTCACTGCACTTCCAGTGCACCGTGCCATGTGATCGCCCTCACTGCACTTCCAGTGCACCGTGCCATGTGATCGCCCTCACTGCACTTCCAGTGCACCGTGCCATGTGATCGCCCTCACTGCACTTCCAGTGCACCGTGCCATGTGATCGCCCTCACTGCACTTCCAGTGCACCGTGCCATGTGATCGCCCTCACTGCACTTCCAGTGCACCGTGCCATGTGATCGCCCTCACTGCACTTCCAGTGCACCGTGCCATGTGATCGCCCTCACTGCACTTCCAGTGCACCGTGCCATGTGATCACCCTCACTGCACTTCCAGTGCACCGTGCCATGTGATCGCCCTCACTGCACTTCCAGTGCACCGTGCCATGTGATCGCCCTCACTGCACTTCCAGTGCACCGTGCCATGTGATCGCCCTCACTGCACTTCCAGTGCACCGTGCCATGTGATCGCCCTCACTGCACTTCCAGTGCACCGTGCCATGTGCTGCCCTCACTGCACTTCCAGTGCACCGTGCCATGTGATCGCCCTCACTGCACTTCCAGTGCACCGTGCCATGTGATCGCCCTCACTGCACTTCCAGTGCACCGTGCCATGTGCTGCCCTCACTGCACTTCCAGTGCACCGTGCCATGTGATCGCCCTCACTGCACTTCCAGTGCACCGTGCCATGTGATCGCCCTCACTGCACTTCCAGTGCACCGTGCCATGTGCTGCCCTCACTGCACTTCCAGTGCACCGTGCCATGTGCTGCCCTCACTGCACTTCCAGTGCACCGTGCCATGTGCTGCCCTGCCCACGCTGCCCTGCCCATCATCGCAGGAGCATCCCTTCCTGGGCCGGCCCTGTGTGGCCCTTCACCCCTGCAACACTCCCGCTGCCATGGCGCTCCTGCTGCACGCTGCTGCTGCTGCTGATGATGCTGACGCTACTGGTGGTGGTGCTGCTGCTAATGGTGGTACCACTGCTGCTGCATTTGATGGTGCTGGGTCGGCTCCTGACGGCGCGGTTGCAGGTGGGGGTACCAATGGGGCGGCTGCAAGGCCAGCAGCAGTGGCTGCGTCTGCCTCGCCAAGCACTGCAGCATCACATCATCACACCCTGCCGCTCGAGCTTTACATGCTGAGCTGGCTCTCTCTGGTTGGCCGCATCGTTGGCATGCGGATGCCACCGCGCCTGCTAGCGAGAATAGCTGAGCTGGCAGCATGCACGGTGCCTGGCAGCATGCACGGTGCCTGACAGCATGCACGGTGCCTGACAGCATGCACGGTGCCTGACAGCATGCACGGTGCCTGACAGCATGCACGGTGCCTGACAGCATGCACGGTGCCTGACAGCATTGCCAACAGCGCGAGCATGCACCCCACTGGAAGCATCCACAGCAGCGTGAAGTGAAGCACAGCCAAAGAGCCAAGGCCCAGGGGGCACCCATGTGTGCATGCACGGAGCATGATGTTAGGCAACACACATACCGGTAGCGCTGAGGACGGGGACAAGCAGGCAGACGTGTGTCGGTGCAAGTTGGGCGCAGGGGTGGGCATGTCATGTCATGGCATGACATGACTCAATGAGCGCCATGCCATCACCATGAACTGCCCATGCACTGCTCCTCAAACCTGCCCGCCTGACTTCTGGTTCACGTCCCTAGTGTCTCTGCTTCATGGCAAGTAGTGGTATATTGTATCTATCCCTGTCTTTGTGCCACACAAGGTGATCTACTGGTATTTTCCCATGTGGCGGGACAGTGTGGGATGAGGCGACTGAATGGCCTTCTGGGCGGTCGGAATTGGGACTGGACGGAAGTCCTAAGGCTTTTCTGAGTGCAGGTAGTGCAGGGGATTCTGTAAGCGGCAGTCACGAGCGCCATGCTACCATTGTGGACTGGCCCTGCAGTGCTTGTAATAACAATCTTTTTTTTTTTTTTTTTTTTTTTTTTGGTAGGTGAAATATGCACTATACACGTACAATGCAAAAACACCACGGTCGTAACCGGTGCTAGAGGGCATAGGTAGTGTATACTACCGTACCCTCCCAGATCTCTACGGAGGCTTATAGACCAAACGCCTAAACATTTCAGCTTGCCCGCCACAAAAACCTATTGTGCCGTTGTCACACTTCAGTACTTGCAGAAGCATCTCGATACATTCCTCATGTTGGTTTTGTCGCTTCAGCTTTGGTGGCTTGGCTCCTCCGAACCTGCCTTCCCTGGTCTGGTGAGGTTGGTTTGCAACAGAAGCAGCTCTGGGTCGCTGCTGCTGAACAGGGCCTTGGTGACGAATGTGACGCTTCAGCCTTGGTCGATTGGCTCTGACCTTGCCTTGCTGAGATTGGTGGAGTTGGGTTACAGCAGAAATTGCCCTGCTTAGAAGTTGATGCCTGACAGGGCCTTGGGGACGACGAATGTTTCCAATCACACTTGCAGTCGTTCGAGCTTGTGTGAGCGGTGTGATAGGAGCAGCTGAGAGCAAAACACCTTCAGAGGGAAAAACACCTCGAGTAGCTTGCCTTGATTCATGGCGCCGAAACACTCTGACGGCGTCATCTATTTCCTCCAAATGAAAATATGCTTCTTGTAACGTAGGGAAAATTCCAGAATCGACTTCTGTCTTCCTGTTCTTCAGAATCTTAAAGTCGGAATAACCTTCTTCACACATTCCAGTAGGAAAATAGTCAACGTCTTGAAATACT